TGTATCGATGAAACAAGCTGGCCGTACCAAGGCTTTGGCGGTCCACTTGTGAACTACTTGAAAGGCAAGATGATTACCAGGGGCGGTCAGACTGTCCTYATGTCRGATGTCGATCGGATCCGGCCAAGAGCATGGACACATCGATACCGTGGTTGGAAACCGGATGATGGTAGGCATTCCTGCACTGGCCCAGCTGAAGTGCATCACCTTGTTGACAACTTTGTTATTCCTAACATTGGACCTGGGAAGATTTGGAGATTTCCACCTCATGTCACAGCAGACAACTTTTTCCTATCAGATTCCATCTTGGATTGGATGGGTGAGGAAGGCTTGGGCATGATGGGAACGGTTGCTAAAAACAGGTTGCCAGCAAAGGTCCCTGGGAAGTATTTTCATAAGAAGAATGCCGCTGGTGATTCAAATGGAAAATCGCGAGCCAAAGCGTCACGCATGGCAAAGCCTATTACTGCAGTCAAAACTGTACCGGCAGATTTGGAGAAGGGGAACAGAGCGTACAGACGAGTCCATTGTTCCTTTCAAAGTACAGGAGCATGCAATTTAGGATCAGTGAACTCAATTTCCTCTTCAACTTTTTACATCCATCAGAAGGAGAGAGGAAGGGGGAAAGACAAGCGTGTCTGGGGCATTGAAATGAATGAGTCTCGTGAGGTTTATCTGTATTCTTATGGGAAACTGGACCATATTGATGCATAGATATCCAGAGCCAATATTGGTTATAAATTGTGGAAATACTATCATGCGGCAATCAATCATGCAAAGGCGTTGGCAATTGCTACAGCCTACGATATCTACAAGGAGTGCACGGACGGAAGCCTGGGTGATGAGTGGAAGTTGAGCAACGTCATGAGCTATCGGGAGTTCCGTCAGAGACTGGCTTTGCAAATGATTAAGTATGATCCTGTTGAGCAGGCATATAACTGCGATAGTAGATTGCGGCAGTGTACAAAAGCAACGCAAAGGGTAAGAATTGGTATGGCAACCAGAAGAAAAGCATGCAAGACTTTCCTTAGGAATGGAAAGCTGCTTTCATATCACAATTTGCAGACCATTACTGAGTACAAAGCAAAGGGGCGGTTTTGCTTCACTCAAAGTGAGTACAAGAAACATTTGATAGCAACAGGACCAACCAAGTCAAGAAGCAGAAACATTTGTTACATGTGCGGCAGCAATACATACAGCTTGTGTCAGTTATGTAAAGTCCCTTTGTGCCCTGCCCATACTCATTCGAGGAAGCGAGACTCTAGTGGAGATCTTRTTGAGAGGAAGTTTTGCCACAGCAACTACCACAATTACGAGTGGTTTGGTCTTGGAAGGAATGACTACTGCTCTAGGGTAAGAAATGACAAGAAAAGAAAAGATAGGACCCRATGGAAGCCTCCAACCAATGATGAGTTCAAAGACAACAGTGAGTATATGAAATACTTGTTGGGCATCGAGGATGATGAGGAGGACACTGGCTTTGGTGACGATGATGATGATGGTGATGGTGTTGGTATTCTTGTTTCACCAACAAGCAACACGACCG